AAAGTCACTACCTGACACATCTAGCACACCGAACAATGTGACCAATGATTCTCTTGATTGCTGTCACGATGAGCACTAGATGAAAAGCCCAGTTAGATCCTGTCCTGAGATCTGCTGATTTCTCTCTCATTTTTGAGTTCCTCTGGTAAGCAATACTAGCCACAGGAAGAGGCTCAAAAATCCAATCTGCTACTACTTGTCTGATCCTGGAGCCAGCTGGGAAGAAGGAGAAACTGCTCAGCTCTCCCCTCTGGAGGTATCTGCTTTGATTTCTACTCACAGACAGAATAATCACCCTCATGGAGGCCCCCCGCCCTGAGTGAACAACGCAGCCTTGCAAAGACACAAGTCCTCAGTGAAATCAATGATTCCAGTAAGCTCAAGTCTTGAGATGATACATCCAGCAAATTTACATGCCCCAGAAGTTGCTTGTCATCTACCCCAAATTATTTTGGTTGATCTAATGAGAGGCAGGGCCTCTTTCTAGAAACCATGCCCAATTGTTTAATCTGACAAGACTTTGAAATATAAAGCCATCTCGTCCTTTAAGTAAGAGGACTAAAAACGTGTCCTAGTGCCTCCCATCACAATAATACACACTTCACTTCATGCGAACACTGCTTCCACTGCCGTATGCCCAAAGCTTCTCATGTCTGTTATACCCATTCCCCTGTGAGATCCTTCTGTTCTTCTTTTAACTTTAGCTATCCTGTCATATCCCTTTCCTTCCTAAATATTCCTATTTTCCACGTTCATCTTGCTGTTTGCCCAGGCAAGCGGCACTGTAGGCTGTGACCAATTCCAACCTACACGTGTGATGACTGACCAACTAGCTACTGCCTCTTCCAAATGATAAGAGCTGAATTGTTCTTGCACTCCCACTAAATAAGGGCATTAAGATAGACTCCTCTACTAAGGCTCTAATTCTTGTCATGCTCCTACCAGCTGTGTCTGTGCTCCTACCAGCTTTAAGGTCTGTGAGCTTTTGTTGAAACAGGGAAATACTTCAGGAGTAACATGGAGAGACGCTGTAACTTCTTATGAAGGAGGAAAAAAAAGCTATCACATACATACAACTATTTCTCTTTACTTTGAGAACCCTGAAATATCTTACCTAATTTCCTCAAGTTCTCTCCATATGAATATTTCCTGCTGGATAGGAAACTTCAAACAGACATGACCTAATGTGTCAGAGCTGATAGAACAGTCTAGGCTATAATTCTGGAGGCAAAGTAGCTTTTGCGTTGAACATCTCTGTGCCTTGCTCGCTGCTGGCTTATTGGTAAGTACGGCCTTAGGCTGACGACAGCCAATTCATAAAATCTAGCCTGTCCAAAATAAATAGAGGACAGAACTGTAACTCTGCATGACAAGGGCAGGCTCAGTGAAGAACTCCTAACTAGAGGAAACTTAGATTTTATTTGCACGGGGATTGCAGACACTATGCTAGTAAACAGCATCATTGAATCTACTGCTGCATTGATTTTAACATAGGACCTTTGTGATCAATGGAATTAATAAGGGGCTGTAGCTTAAAACAGTCCCTTGCTGTGTTGTATGATTCTTGTGTCACTAGGCTCTTCTAAAAAAGGTAATCCACACGCTTGTTCTCGAGTCTAATGTGATCAAAGAAATAGTGAATGGTTAAACAGTTTCACCAGGAATGAAAGGCTGCGGAAAGAGAGACGATAAGCACTACCTGCCCTTTCTTGGTGGTGAGATAGATAGTCTCCAGCCCTTCTCTCTCATAATACAAGACTCTGCTCTGGAATGTTCCCGGAACCTTAAATAAAGGGAAAGAAGGGTATGTTTACTCTAAACAAGATTATGTAACACAGTAACAAGGGGGGAAAAAGTGTTTTTTCCAACTTCATTGCTCTGAGAGGGTTAATAACCACTTGGTGGCTGTTACAGATGCATAGCATCATGTTCAGTAAAAAAAACAGGACTGTGTATTGAACATGTACTGAGATCTAAGCGTCATTCCACTGAAAGGAAGGGGTTTACCCAAAGTTGTCATATCCCTATAGATCAGTTCAGCATGGGCATTGCAGCAGGGAGCACTGGTGCCCCTGGCCACCATGCAGCCATCTGTCCCTGCAATTGACCTGTCCCCCAGCCACACCTTACTTTGTTGGAATATAAGCCCTCACCTGAGAGGTATGAGTTTGCTCATCAATGTTAGGCTGAAGAGGCTCTGCACACTATATCCCTGTCTGTGCCTCCTGACAGCAGCAGTCAGAGAGGATGCCTTCAAAGATGACAGCTGTGAGAAAAAAAAAGACAGGTAACAGTTTCATGTGTTCCGATAATTTGATCGGAAAACAACAAAAAAAACGCTTATCACTGGATCGTGTTTGCCTGGATGATCAGCTAAGCCAGCAAATGACAGAGACACAGAACAGTCACAACTGCTTTATTTGCCTGTCATGCATCCCATCAGGTTCCTCCTTGCTCTCATAA